TTTTCGTGCATTAAGTGAAATCAAAATATGAAGGCAGGATGATACGAAAGAAAATGTTTGAGTATATTCTCTTATGATTTTTTTAAAAATATATTGAAGCAAAAGGTGAGGCAAGTTTAAGTGAACTCTTACTAGTTGCGGACTTGATGGTAATTCATCAACGGGTTGTACTGGAGGTAGATAGATAGTAGATGTGGTTGTTGTCTCAGTATTTGTAGTGGCTGTTGTAGTTGTGGTTGTTGTAGCTGTGGTTGTTGTAGCTGATGTAGTTGTAGTTGTTGTAGCTGATGTAGTTGTAGTTGTTGTAGCTGATGTAGTCGTAGTAGTTGTAGCTGACGTAGTCGTAGTAGTTGTAGCTGATGTAGTCGTTGTCGTTGTTTCCGTTGTTGTTGTAGCTGTAGTGGCCGTTGTAGTTGTAGTTGTTGGACATCCACAGTTGTAGCATGGACATATGTAAACTCGAAATGATATTTCTATATCAATACTTGTGTTAGCTGTTGATGGATTTTCAACTAAACAAATGCCTATATGAAATAAAGACATCATACGACACTTCTACCTACCGATGTACGAAAACAGAGACGTTATGCTGTCATAATACCAATCACCATTAGTAGTATTCCATTGGGATAATGGCATCGGTAACCCTGGAATCATTGACCGATCGACTACAGTATCTGCTCTAGCTGGTTCAACGTTCATTGGATGTTGAATAATCAGATAGTCACCAGGAGCCACATCATAAATAATGCCGACATATGTGAGATCATCCGCATGCTAATTAGTGCCGAATCGGAAACGAAAAAAATTGCGCAAAATGAAACGACAAAGTGATCTTACTGGATTCATTTGAAACTGGAATGTGTACGTTTGATTTGCTCTCAATACAACTAAGTATCCGTTCGGATAGGTTAACTGTTCTCGAAGCCATGGTACAATAGTTGACGCATTCGCTTCATCAGAGATGAATAGTTGACCTTGATTTCTCCACCGAAGATCACGGAGTGAAAACCGTAACCATGAACCTTCTGATAGAGGACATTGAATAGCATTTTCGAAATTGGGTACTAGTGTACATGTCGATGATGCATTTATGATACCATCAGGTGCCATGATTATTGAATCAGATTGTCCACCCAAAGTACCATCCTCATCATGATATAGAGCATCGTATTCCCATCGAAATTTGCCACGAATCGAAACATTTATAAAAGATATGTTGGAAAACTTTGTTAGCCAACCTGTATTAAGGAATGATAAAAATTATTATACTACATAGAACGATCAGTTGTACTCGTACCTCCACAACGATCAGTACATCTACCAAGGATGATTGGTCCGAATATAGCACGTGTCTCATTGCTTGGAAAATTGATGAAAGTAACATTGTGAACACGAAGACCACGATCCCACATGACTATCAACCAAAAATGATACAACAGGTCATAGCAATATGAGTAAATGTAAATATATTAGGCAATAAGAATGATTGAAAGGAAATGCTCATCAATTTTTAAGAGGATAATCTTTGACACAAGTATCTGACTAAAACAAGAGTAGAGTTTAATGCCTAGTTTATTAATAAGATTTCTTGCATGAAATACACTCATCAAAATCACAACAGCGCTATCTGTTTGAAGTTCATTTGTTCCTGAGAGAAGTATTTGTTTTCATATTCCATGTCCGCACATTGTTTTCACAGGTGTACAAGAAGGTGGTCGTTTCATAGATATATGTCAGTTGTCCTAACCATAATCTCTTTAAAAGGAATTATAAGAAAATTTGATGTGATTGAGAACGTTCCCGTCGTTCTATTAATCGAACGGCGAAGATAGCATTGATAGAAAGAAGTCAGAAAAGAAGGAACATTTCATTCTCACTTATTCTTTGCATCGCACAGGTTAATTAATGAATAGGTTGTCTTCTATGATTCAAAAAATATGATACTATGATTCGAGAATCTTGATGGTTGGGTATGTTGTTTTCTCAACTGACATTTAGTGTATTTTTATAATGAAAATGAAAAATTATGCTAAAAACTGTATATGACTGGAACAACTGACCAGCAAATTCGTCTTACTTACCCACAAGACCTGCAGTGGATGGTACGATTGGAGTGGAGGAGATACCCACATCACCGATAATTATACTATCAATAACTGATGAGCCACTATCAATATCATAGAATGTTGCACGCAGATACGGTGGATTGGTTTCTTGATGACCAACAGCTGTGACGTAGGCAATACCTATATCAGCATTGTCAAAGACTATTGCATTCTTGATTTGTGTCGTACGAGTCATGACTAACTCGATGCCTTTATTATTTTTCCACGATATCAAGCCTTCGAATACTGCTTGTGACGGTTGAGTATCGCTACAATCACCCGTGATTGTGGGAGCATATTCAGGATAGATCCAGACTCCAAATCGACCCGTACTATGTACAGTATTATTGTAGAAGCGACCGAAAGGCTGTCGATTAGGACAATAGTTGGGATTGATGAGAACTGAAAGTCCTTCAGTTTTATTACTCAATCGATACCAATAACCATAATGAGTGCTACCAGCTACTGCATTGAATTCAACAACATTATTAGGGTTGGTTAACTATTTAAAGAAGTCTTTACCTAAGTATCTTTAGATCATTATCTTACCCAAAAAGCAGCTGGTGTAAGATCTTCATTGAGAAGGCTGGAACTGGATCGAACGAAAATGACTAGATTTCCTCGAAAAACATGTCCGATTTCAATGCCATCCGAGAGAAACATTGCATTACCCCTATTCATACGTTAGACACAAATAATTACGATTATTAATCAGCATCAAATTCATACATGATATTATATATAACATTGTTCTCAATAGTGATATAATTACTAGCTTGAATGTGGACAGCTCGATTGAATGATTGGTGAATAGAACATGATTTCACATAGGATTCGCTCATATTACCATTTCTTTGAAAATGTATTGCATAACGATCGAGACGAAATGCTTGACCGATGTTGAATATCTATATGAGACAACTAAAACAATCGAAATCAGAAGAAGAGGAGACTATCTACTTCGACATTGGACAAACGAACAACAACTCGTTGAGTACCATTCGTAGTATTGCCGCCTTGACTGGCCATGATCATCGCACCAAACTGATCAGAACCGATCTCCTGCCCATATCGACCGAGAAAACATGTCTGTACGGCAAATTCGTCTGAAAACAAAATGAGTTTTCATTGCTTCTGAATTTTGAAAATTTCGAATTTGCATTATTTTCAACAGAACTTCACAGAACAAGATCAATCGACATCATATATTAGTATTAATTAATAAAAGTAGATATGACAGTATCGGTTTTTTCCAAATATTATACTAGAATAAAACTAGCGATTACTAATTATTGATGATTTCTTTTTGACTATAGGTTAGGATTAGTCAAATCAACTTTACTGTCAGAAGATAGTCCGTGACTGTTGCTGATCTATTCAGTGGTCTGTTCATCTTATTGAAAACTATCTTACCTGGATTGAATCCAGCCGGACATTCTTCTATGGTTTCATCCCATGTTTCTGTAATTGAACCTAATTAAACAAGATCATTCCGTCATATAAAATATTAATTGTAGAATATGAAAACCTTGAAAGACGACATTGTGAGAAAGAAGACCAACTTCGCCGCGAATTTCGATGGTTGTTGAATTCAACGTTTGTGTAGCACCCAAATGGGTATATTTCAATGGTGTGTCCAAGGTTAATGTAAGTCTATCCGATGAGATATTTACAATTCGACGAATTTCGTTTTCTTTTTGACTGAAACGATCACTTGTAGTTGCGATAACGATTTGACTATTGACATTCCAATCGATAGGTTGAAGAAGAGTAATTACTGTTGAGCCATTATTAGCTGTTGCTCCGAGTTGTGTCCAAGTTTGAATAGTGGACATTCCATGCATGTCCACTGTTCCTTCACGCAAAGCCAACACTTTGGCACCAACTAATCGAAAAACAAATCTTTAGAAACCGTACAAAATCAATGTCACTTACAAATAGGCAATTCGATTGATCGCAAGTGTCCATACATAGTGATAATACCACGATGTTGAAATGGATTTGACTCTGTTCCGACTTGAAGATGACCACTGTTGACTATGATAATATACTCAACATTCAAAGCAACATCTTGAGAATCATCGAAAATTAATGTAGCATTATCGATAACAAGTACTTTCAGAATAGGTGTTTCAATATCCAAATAGATAGTCACATAGTTGTCAATTACCACAAGTGTACCAGCTTCTGGTGGCTCATTACCACCCCATGTCCATGGACTCGACCAAAGATCAATGTATTGGAACTCAACTGAACTGATCGCATAGCCACTACCATCGATAAATACCTTGACTTGGGCTCGTACACTTCTGTATTGATAACTGCCAGTTTCACATGTAATACTTGTTGTTGTGACTGTTTGTAATGAACATGGCGAGTCGGCAATAGTCACCGTTACGACATTTGCAGAAGTTCTAGATGTAAAAAAATAGTCATATGAGTGACGTGTTATGCTTAAAAAACTCACGGAAAATTGTTTCCATTGATAGTAATCCTCGTTCCACCACCGGTTCCACCTCGAGTTGGACTCACTGATGTTACTATTGCAGTCAAATTAGCTTTGTAGGTGAATAGTGTATTTTTACTGATACCATTTACAGTCACTGTTAAATTGCACGAACTATTCACTTCGGCCATCGAAACTTCAGGTGTAACACAAATGAGTTGAACATTAGACACGATTTGTACCAATAAACAAGACTGATTACATATGTTGACAGTGACATCGGTTCCATTGAATCCATAGCCAAGAATCGTCACTGGTAGACCACCACCATAACCTCCTTCTGATGGTGTAGCATTCGTGACGGAAAGATCGTGCATGTAGAAAATATCCGAATTGGAATTTCCAATTTCGTCCACGTGAACAGTGACTGTATGATGACCGGCTGGTAAATTCAAACCAACTGTACATGTAATTGATCCTATTGAATAATTACTGACAATACATGGAGTATTTCCCACTGTGACATTCGTTTGCCCGTTGCCAACAAAGTTATTTCCAGTGATGACTAAAACTTGCGACGTATTGCCAAATGTTGGACTAACTGAAGTGAT